AACAGGTCTGAGTTCAGGGACTGGTTCAGCTACTTTCTCAGCTGTGGGACCTAGAGGAAGCCATTGAACACCTCTAACCTGTTTCTTCATCTACAGAATGTGGGAAATAATAACTACCTCATCATGTTGCATTAAGTGAGCTAATGTATGTGAAATCTCTTTAAAATGCCATACAAGTGTCCAGCAAAACAGGAAGTAGGGGGGTGTTGATGGTGGCACATTGCATTTTATGAGTTGTAATCTCAAAAAGAAAGAGGCTATGAAAGGAGGTGGAAAAAAATAGGGTCTATGGAAGCCAAATGACTCATTTTTCAAGTTCTGTTTACATAGGCAAGGCAAACAATTCATAAAAAAACAGGAAAGATTTTAAATGCCCAAACCATAAAATTATCTAGGGTTGATGGAGTCCAAGGTAATACACCTGCACAGCACTTGTAATTCCTCCTAGTCCTTTCAAGTACTTTTTCCATTAGCCTTGCAACATCCCTGGAAAGTAGTTAGGGCTGAAATTATTTTATCTATTTTACAGAAGAAGAAACTGAGGCACACTGAGGTTAGACAGCTACCTGAAGCCCAATTCTAGCACTCGCTACCAGACCAGACTACTACAGAGCTATGGAGAAAAGTGGACTTATTTTCCAGTGAATAGTCTAAGGCTAGGTTCTTGGACTAGGTTCTTTGCCTCCAAGGCAAAGCCACCCCCTTTTAGATGCCATTCCCTGCATGGAGGAGGGCCTCCAAACAGGTTAATTCTCAAAGGAAAAAATGAGAATTAGTGACTATTCCACATACTGACAGACTTTGAGTTGTAAGAACATTATCATCTAATGTCTCTTAGGGGCCCAGTTGCCTTCAGAAAAAGCAGAGAGCTAGAACTATGCCTCCACCACAGGACACTGCCATCAGCTGACCTCAAACTGAAGTTCTCTGTTTAAAATCCTGATTCCAATGCTTTCTATTCTTGTGAGTTTAGGTAGGGAACAACTTTTCTGAACCTGTTTCCTAATGATATAACACCATATAGAGCACCTCACACTATGTCTGTTGCATAGTAGGTGCACAATGATATTCCTATCCCCAACCTTCCTAGCCTCACTGGGCACATTTTGGATGTTCCTGGACTCAGAAGTCTCCATCCAGGGGAGTGGGAAGGCGGATCTTGCTCTTATCAGCTAATTCATAGCATCCAGGTTATATAGATAGTAGGGTGCTTCTTGGCACTGTAGATATGCTTTTTTCCCCCAACTAGATAGTTCTAAATCTACCTGATTTACTTCCTATAATCATGTTACATTAATAATTTAGAATAGCTGGACATTCTTCATGGTCAAACCTCTGCAGAGCTAGGGTGAAGAAAACAGAGGGATGCATCTAAATTCCAAGGCCCAAACCAAGGTGCTCCCCCCAGCATCATGGAAAAGAGACACTGGGTTACCATCATACCCTCGAGGGAGCAATCACCAAACTAACCAGCAAACTCAAAAACAAGGATGAGCTTTGTATTTTTGTAGGCACGATTAGGGGTCCTTTGTAGAAGTAATTGCAGCCTCTCCTTATCTCTGGCTGTGTGCCTATAAGCATCCTATCAAGATGGAACATACTAACAGAGAGAGAGTGGCTACCACTGTAGGACAGGTGAATGGAAATGGAAAGCCTGCCCTAGAGGAACCAGGAGTTGACTCTCAATTTTTTAACTGCAACTGACATTCCTCTAAGCTGATCCAGCACCAACTGTTTAACACCGTCTTCTGGTCTCCTTCCTACAGAGGCAGAGTAAGAGAGTATGTAAGACACCCTCCAGGGCATCTTCTTGACTGACATGAAATGAGAACAGGAGCTGGATTTTTATTTGTTTGTTGAGCTTCCTATATTCTGGATAGCTTAGACTAATTTTAAAATGATCATTGGTCTTTCGGTCCTTTTCTCAATCTGAGGGTGCAGGGCTCTGGCCCTGGACCCAGGGGTGGGAGTGGGGATGGGTAGAGGCAGTCTTCCAGCATGACTGGGAAGCCAGGCTTTATGAGTGGCCAGGAAGGCTGCTGCACTGTTTCTCCAACAAATGGGTCTATGGTGGTTAGCCACCCAGCGAGTGAAGAAATTTATAATAAGTGTGGGGAAGTTTCGAGAGGAAACAATTTTCTGCTGAAACTGTCCTATTTTCAAACTTTTTGTAATCCTAATCTGAGAAAACAGTTTTCTTTCCAGCTAGAGAGCACTAAATTCACCCAATTTACTTCCTAAAATCTTGTTATACTATAAGAAGATTTTAGAATGGGTGGAAATTCTTCATGGCCAAACCTCTGTAGAGCTGGGGTGAAGAAGGAGAGGGGGATGCCTTCAAATTCCGACACTCAGCCCATTGCTCACCCCAGCAGGCTGGGAAGCAGGCGCTGACCAAAGATGGGAGAATCAGAGAAAATGAAATAGTTCCCCCACTTCCAAGGAGCAGGCAGACTCCACAAACATGAGAGGGAAGGGCAATGTGGAGGGAAGAGTCTGTGTGAATAAGAAAATCATTATGAGTCAAGTCATAGTCTGGGTAGCTTCAGTTTCTGGTATCTACAGTAGTCATTCAGTAAATGCCTTTTGACTGGTTGATCAACATGTGGAAACTAAGTGGAGAAGCAACTGTAAGCGAGACAAGGACAGGCCTCAACAGAGTTCCTCCTCTTGCCTCACAGCTCGTTTCCAAGCTTCCATGGCCTGCCCATGCAGAGTGAGCCAAGCATTCCTCTTGTTAGCTTATGAATGACACCACTGAGTCTGGTCAGGCTGAGCAACATTTCAAGCATTTGACTACTTTACTTCTAAAGGAGCCATAACCCCAGCGCCCACAGAAAATGTCACCCCAGATAGGGGGTCTTTCTGTAAGGGACCTTCAGAGAAGAAGCCATACCCTCCTAAGCTACTACCTTCTGTAATCTTTTCCCTTGTGTTTTGTTCTGAGAGAATATGGGGAATAGAATGACTTCTACTGGAAACTCTCAGAGTGAATCCACTCTATCCTCTTATCCTCCCACCATCACCTTTCCCCAGCGCAAAGAGATTAGATAGTAAGAGCCTTACACAGCTGGGTGAGAGTTTAGAATGAAGATTAACTCTGGAGAGAAGCAGACAGAGGCTTTGACTGACCAAGAACCAGTCCGTTGACCAGACACTGCAGTAAACCGGCCAGGATGGATTCTGCAGGCACCTTACCCAGTTCCCTGGGGAGTGGCCAGGCAACTCTGCTTCCTCTGGCAGTGCCTGTCAAGCTGGCCAGACTGCAAGATTAACCCACAGAGAGCAGGCAGAAGGAGGTCAGGGCAAAGGGGGCTGGGGAGTGGGATTGAACAGCCATTGGGCAGAGAGGGGCAGAGACTGAAGGGGAGAAAAGGAGAAGGCTGCTTTGTAGGAGGCACCAGTTGGAAAGAAGTTTGTAGTGATGTCTGAGAGACGGCGACAATGATGAGAGAATGGGAGTGGAAGTGGCATGGGGTGAGATGGGGCAGGCAGGGGCAGAGAAGAAGGGCTATGGAGAGGGCTATGAAGAAGGGCTGGGGGAAGGACTGGGGCTGGAAGTACTTGTTCAGTTGAGAAGCAGCAAAAACGGTAGGGCCGTGCAAGGGGGCAGGGTTGTGAGGACAGAGCAAGGCTGGAAAATGGGGCCATGGGGCAGGGCTTGGGCAAGAGAATGGCACTTGGGGCTGAACAGGTGCTGAGACAGTGCAGATGCTTGGGGGTTGTTCAGCACTAGGAGACAGGGCAGAAGTAGAGGACAGGGCCTCAGGGTGGGGGAGAACTGCAGGAAAAGTCAGAAGTTGGGGGTGTAGATGCTAGGAGGACAAGAAAGGGCCAAGGGAAAGAAATTCGGGGAGGGGAGAACTTAGGAGGGCAAGTCAGAGGCTTGGAGACAGGGTCTTGAGGAAGGGCAAGGCTGGCGGGCTGCACTGCGGGGCGGAAAAGCTGTAAAGACCGATAAAGAGAAAAGCCGATGGTGTTTGGAGATGGAACTCGGGACTTCTATCACCACAGGGCTTGGACCCCAGCCCCACGCCCATCCTCCCAGACATTTGGCACCTACCGCCACCTGTGAGCTGGAGCAGGAGAAGATGCGCTTCATGGCCAGGGCCAGGGCCACGGGGGTACGGGGACGCGCGAAGAGCGGGGCCACAGGTTCCCGAACCCGCGGGACTTGGCTGGCTGCGGCTGTTCAAGAGAGCTGTCAAAAGCAGAGCGGGACCCGCCCCGCCCGGGACCCGTCCCGGGACCCGCCCCCGCCCCACTCAATCAGAGGCAAGAACCCGGAGTCTGGGCTTAAGACTCCGCCCTGGCCCTGCCCCAGCCCGCCGCGGCGGAGGCATAAAGGCTGCGGTCTTTGCGACCTGGCGGTGTTCTCAAACCGAGCCGGTCCACAGCTGGGAATGGCTCAATCACAGAGGGAGCCCTGCTCTTCCGGCCCCGCCTCCCCCCACCACGCGCTCGGCCCTGGACTGCAGCCCCTTTCCCAACCCCGCCTCGGCCAGGCGCCCCTCACCCCCAGCCCGCGGTGAGCGCCGCAGCCCAGGCGGGCGGGTCCCGCCTCCTCCGGGTGTGCCCGGCCCTGAACCAGCTGGCGCATTTAACCACTCGTGACGACGCCTTATTGTATCCAGCGACCTTTGGCCAGCTTAATTACCTCTGCTTCCTCCACCATTCCCCGTCCAAAAGCCAGGCACGAAAGAGGATTTGAAAAGAGCAGTTTGGAAATGGGAGGAGATTGTGGTGCTGAGCAGAGTGCGGGTTTTGCAGGACCCGTAACCTGGGGAACAAAACCTGAGGGAAAGGGGATCAGACTTTCTACCCTAACGTCCCTCTAAGTTAGGAAGGACAGAGGCGGAGAGAAGTTTTACTTTCAGCAGTCCCTTCTCACACAAAAGAAACTAAAAACTGCTTTCACAATTTCCACTATCCTTATAATCCAGATTCTAAGCAGTTCTTGCTTGAACAGGGTCGCAAGCCAACTGGTCTACCCATCTCTTTTTTTTTTTTTTTTTTTTTTGCGGCCAAAGTGAGCCCACGCAAATGCCTATGAAAGTCTGCTGGATAAAGTTCCAAGTAGTTTACCAGGCTCTTCAGGAGCTGCACCCTGCCTTCTCCAGTCTTATCCCTCACCGCTTTCATAAATAGCCCCCTGCTCAGGCTGTTCTAATTTACTACAATTCCCGTCCCCGCTGGTGATTACTCCTCCCTGGAATGCCTCCTCTCATACTTGGTGGCCCCTCAAGCCAAATTTTTTTTTTCTGTAAAGTTTTCCCTTAAAACCCTGCTCCCCCACCCCCAAAAAGTGTGCTTCTTAACGTTTGACACACTTCTAATACTTCCGTGTTGTATAGCAACCACCTACCTTCCGCTAGCGAATAATTTGCCATTCATTTACCTGTATCCCCTAGTAGACTGGGCTCTTTTAAATGGTAGGAGTTGTATTTTATATTATTCCCATTGCATGGCACATATTAGGCGCTTCATGTCTGCTAAGTGAGTGAATGAAAGATTGAAGGAAGGAATGAAGGAGCGACAAAGAGAAGAACACTCACACATTTGGGGAGAGCCTGTTGTTAGTAGAGTTGCTTCTCAAACTGGCTCTGCTCCAAAGGAAGAGACTTACTGAAGAACAGGTTGGGGTTAAAGAAAGTCCTACTTTGGTGCTGAGGGATAAAGAGGAGAGGGATCTCTAGAAGGAGAAAAAAACTAAACGTGCTCTTTTAGTCCTATGGATAAAGAATTAGGGGAACCGGCACTCAAGAAAATCCATCTTCCTTTGGGGGTTTTGTTCCCCAGGTTGTTGTTCCTTCAGGTTTTGTTCCTCAAGTTGCAGGTCCTGCAAAACCCACACTCTGCCCAGCACCACAATCTCCTCCTCGAAATAACTCACCAGCATGCTACAGAATGGTTCTCCCTGCCTAATAGGCCAGATAGGCCACCATTCTCAGGGGTAGGAAACAGGCAGAGACATAGTTTCTAGAAGACCATTGCTTAAGTGCACATGTTCTTGAGAATACTAAAACAATAGATTTGATTTCTATCATCAGAACCTTAAGTTAATTAGCTAATTATTGCCTTAGTGGGCATGAGGGCTTATTTCAACCGGGATGAGGCAGAGGATAAGAATTAGGGAAGGAGACAAGCACACAGAGAAAGAAACAACTCTCCAGGGTCTGTGAAGGGGACGTGGGTCACAGGGCAGTAGCACCACCTGATACTTCAATACACTGTCTCACTTAATCCTCACAACACACAGTAGGGCAGATTATTTTATATCAGAATATTTTCAAGGATAGTTACCATTTATTGAGTACTTACTAAATGATCGCTTTACTTGAATTATCTCACTTAGTCCTCACAATCCTAGTAAATTTAAAGACAAGAAAGCCAAGTCAGAGAAGTTTAAATCTGTACAAGGTCAAACAGGTTTTAAGTGGTATAATTTAGATTTAAACCCAAGTCTGTCTGCATTTTTTCATCACTGTACTACACAGCCTTTTATTGTTAGCTGAGCCTTGGGGTAATTACGACTTCCCAAGGCCACAAGGCTAATGAATGGCAGACCTGGGATCTCAGTCTAGGTTTATGTGCTTCCCAAACCTACACATTTTATACTCTATGATCACTTAAGTAGGTTTAGTATTGCAGGAGGCTAGAGCACATCTCCAGTGAGAGAGTCACAGAAAACACCTCAAATACTTCATAACCTTGCCTTTCAGGGACTCAACTGTATAAGGTCTCGGGTGAACCAATGACCCACGTCTCACCCAAGGTCTCACCATTCCTGAGCAGTCCATAACCCAGGGAACTCAAACAGAGCCAGAAGTCATTTGATACTAACTTTGTTTGTTTTGACTATCTGACATACTGTCCACCCTGTGGGGAAACAGAGACAATGCCCTCTGCACAAGGCCAGAGACATGCCAAAAAATAAACATTGTGGCCAGGTTTGGAGGGCAGGTTCTGTGGTTGCTATCAACTGCTCAAACCAGGTCTCCTCTCTTCTCAGCTCTAAATAGGTGCTAATTCTTCAGAGGGCTGTCAGAGCTGTACTTCGGAGACCAATAACTATTTTGGTCTCCAAAGTCTTGATTGCAAAGAAATATAAGCTACCCAGTTGTTGATGAGAATCCAATTCTCTTTACTGGCCATAACCAAATAGTGGGGGAAGGGGGACAGCAGAGAAGGGGAATGGTGATCCAGAGATAGAAATTAACTTGGGACTGTCCAGTAAACATCAGGCAAAATATGTCCAAAAAATTAGGCAAGGGCTGGCAAACTGATTCCACCAAAGAACTCCTACAAGGTATGATTGCATTTGCCCCAGAAACATTTTCTTAGAAGCCATTTGTGCTACAAAGTCAGTGCTGAGCAAGTAACGGCTTACTCCCCAGAGACCTCCTGCCACCCACTTAGCTTCTTCCTTAATGCAGACCCCTCTCATTCAGACCTTGTGGGGCTGCTGCTTCCCAAAGCTGGTAAGGTGAAAGGGTTTCCCAGGGTCAAGCAGCAATCCCCTCCCTTCTATCTAGTTTTCTCATAAGAAGGGCTCAAGAGTGTGTGAGCCCTGGGGAGAAAACACTGCCAGGAGTAGCCAGTCGTCTCTGCTATTCCAGCTCTAGCCACGTGAGGGCCCCTGGCTCCAGAGAATCGGGCACTAGGCCCTGGCTCTGCTCCCAGGGAAGGCTGAAGCTGGGAAATCCTAGCTCAGCAGGCCTGGGGGTGGCTCTGTTTCACCAGCACCTGAGGGCGGGCGAGTGCACCACGAAATCTCAGGTTTCAGCGGGATGGCAGTTGCCTGTCTAAAGGCTTCTCTGTTCCTTGGAATTGTACAGAATGTCTCTTGTGGCTTTTCCTCCTCCCTCCTTTTTTCCTGTTGACTCTCCCCATCCTGCTCTCTGAATCACCAGACTCCACAGGAAAGCAGCAGATGTTGACTTTACTCCTTTTGAGCCAACGTCAGCTCCCTTCTATGGAGCAAGGAGCAGACAGGAAGGTGAGAGGCGACAAATGGAGGAAGATAACCCTCATCCTTTCCAAACTGTGAAGGAGAATGTAAAGGGAATTTGAAAGGAGTCAGAGGCCTAGGCAAAAAATTTTTGATTCCTGGGAGATAGGGAAAAAATGCCCCAAACCAAGGCCTTAATGTTGGCTATGGAACCAGAATTATGAGGAGGGAAGCACACAGGGTGGGACTGTTCCTAGTCTTGGTGCCAGACCTTGTCTGAGGTAAGACCTCATATCCCGCTAGCAGCATCCTCATGACTTTAAAAGTCAAGTCAGGTTGCAGGTCTGGGGAAATAGTCCAGAGGCTTCTTCTTATCCCACCTGAGCCCCCAAACCTCCACTCTTATGCAAGTCTTTTGGAGAAGCTTCCAGGAAAGACTTTCGGGCTTTATTCTACATTCATTACTCCAATTTTTCTTCCCTTTTTTCTTCCTCAGGGATTTTCTTGCGGGCAAAGAAGCCAAGCTGTAGAGGAAGAGATAAGAGTCATGACAAAATGCCCTGCCTGGGTACCCTGTCAAGAGCTCTCAGACATATCTCAAGTCTTCACTTTTGTTCTGCTTCCAAAAATGAGATTCAAACTTATTTTATTTAGTTTAATTCAACCAACAGTTGTGGAGTACAGTGAAGGAGATTCAGGCATGACACCCACAGTCTGCTCAGCTGCTTAACACAAATGTACCTCTCCCTGCTATAATCAAGGATCTCTCAACTCATGGGCACCATGCCCCATCTCCCCACTAAACCAGTACTTACCTTCCAAAGGCAGAAGACAAGGAGAGCAAACAGGAGCAGCCCTCCCAGGACACTGCCAATGAGGATCCACAGGGAAATGAGGGCAGGGTGGGTCTGAATCACCTCCAAGAGGCTCTGTATAGGAAGGAGAGTTGTTTATCACTTGCACCCTCTTGCCCAGCTACCCTCACCTCCCATTATAGCAAAGCCAACCTCAAACCAGAAAGACAGAGGAAAGAAACTGAGGCAGGAATGGAGGCAGTAGGACCCCAGTGTCCTGATTTATCACTCTGACTTTCCAACTGACGTCTAATGAAGAGGTTTCTATTCAGAAAAGCCCCCCAAGGGCCAATAGCCCAACCCATCCCCACCCTCACTATTTCCACAGCTCTCAAACTCAGTCTCCAGCCCCACCTCACTCCAACAAAAAGGTTCAGTCAGCTGTAGGACACTGCCCTCCTCAGTTTCCAGCTCAAAGGTGCTGACCACTGTCAAAGACTTGAATTTGGCCTGCAGAACAAGTAGATGAGAAGACAATTAGTGTGAGCCATCATTAGGTGGTACAGCTGAACCACCTGATGATGGCTCATGTTCTAATAGCAGAAGAAAAGGTTGGAGACCAATGGGGAAAGAGAGGAAGGGTAATAGAGGGAAAGCCTCTGGCCCTTCATATATGCTGTTTGCTCTACCTGTAATGCATTCAGCTCCCCTTTCTTCGGCTAACCTCCTTTAAGTCAGAGTTTAGATATCATCTCCCCTGGGAATTAGGGAAATGGTTCCTCCTAACCTCCAATGTCCTGGATTAAGTTATAATATTCTATTTACTTCTCTGTCTTTTAACACTTAACTCTAAGATCCTTGAGATCGAGGACTGTATCATAGCAGTTTCTCAATAACTAATTGTTGAAAGAATAAATAAGGGCATGAAAAAAGGATACCAAAGAGAGAGAACCAGACTTAGAAAGAGATGGTCTGTCAGACTTAACTTCCCTAAAACATTTGCCTACATCCCAGGGATCTTGTGTTATTCAAAGGAGATGGTACATGGGAAAGCACAATATAAACCCCTAACACTCCATAGCTGTTATAATTAGGAAGTCACTTCCCTGCTCAGGAACTCATAGTAACTCTTCAGTGTCTACCACATTGAGTTCAATTTCAATGTCCCCAGCTTTAGAGAATTTTTATAATCTAGATTCCTTTCAACTATACAATCTTATATCCCCACTACCCTCTAATACATAGCCTGCATGTAATACCAACTATTTATTCATTAATTTAAGAAAAATGTATTAAGTCACCACAGTGAGTTAGGCATGGTACTAAATGTTGGGGATATTCTCCTCATTATCTGCCTAATACAGGGCCTTTATATAGTAGGCACTTGAAAGATTATTAGTTGATTGAACTTAGGCATCTTATTAATCTTGATTGATTATTGATATAGCACTAAGGGATGGTAAATGGAGGTAAATACGAGGATAATAACTAGTATTTAATGAGTCCATCACATTATCATTTGTTCTTTACAATATGAAGTTGGTATTACCCACCCCACTTAGTGATGAGGAGAAAGCTTAGAGAAATGAAATAACTTGTTCAAGGTCCAACAGCTAGTGGGAGACAAAGCTGAAACTTGAACTTGGGTCTATCTGCCTCCAAGGCAGATGCTAAAGTTCCAAAGAGGAGCAGAAGAGAAGATTAATAGAAGAGGAAAGACTTACCCTCCGGAAAAATTCATTGTGAACCAGCCTCAGTAGTCCAACAGAGACCTCAGTCCCCTTTGCCAGTTGCTCAAGGTGGCACCTCACCACCTGACACCAAGTATTGCTCCCATTCTACCAGAAAAGAGAGACAGTGTGTCCAAAGTGTCCCCTACTTACCACTCTTCATCTCAAACCTCAAAACTCCACTGCTCCCCACTGCATTCCCACTCTGAACACTTTCTTCACCTTCTTGTAACTCATACCAGTCTGCTTATGTGCTGAAGCTCCTCCGGATGCACAGGGAGCCCCAGGGGCTCGGTCAGGTTCTGTACTATGCAGCTTGCCTGGAGGAAGATCCAGCTTGAGGTGGGAGGCCACCCACTTCAGGCTGAGAAGCCACATGCTACCCACACTCGTACAGTTCTTCCCTGGGTAACCCCTTTCCTTTGTCCCAAAGAAGCCACATATGTAAAAGAAAGGTCCCCAGGGGAAGGAGCCCTGAGGGAAGTGACCCGGCAGATAGGGAGCTGGGTGAGTCCACCAGAACAAGGTGGCAGGTTCCACATACCCCTAGCCCAGACTCACATTATTAGTGATGACTTGAGACAGTGACAGGAAGTAATTTCCCCCCTGGGCCACAGCCGGAAGGAGAGCTGAGATGATGAGGCCACTGACCAGATAGCAGCCTAGGTTCTGAACCTGAGAGGAGGATTAGGAAGGGGAAGAGGTGGAAGACAGAGGACTCCTACTCATCTCTTCCACTTCACCCTGGTTGCCTTTGAAATCTCAGAGAGACTCTCCCCATCCTTTGCTCAGGACTCTCCCCACTCCACTCCACCCCAGCTCATGCTGGTGAAGGCCCTTCCAGCTTCTCACCCTAAGAGTGGTTTTGAATTCAGGTCCCACTGGGAGAGTCTCATATGGGTGAATCTCATAGCGATGCAAAGTGGACTCACTGCATGGACACCAAGTCAGGCAGTACATGGTCACAGCCACGACACAGACACGGAGAACATGATCAGCACGCAGACATGGATTCAGGGAGGGCAGGGCCAGTACATGGATAAACAGATAGAATATATAAGATAGGAATGAGACATGACATAAACTGGGTACAAACTTTATGATCATATCCCATACCTCTTCACCCCAGCTTCAGTCCCCAGGGCCCAGCAAAGCCCTATACCTAGGATGTATAGGTATACCTGTACCTAGGAAAGGAAGATGCTTAAAAGAGAAGGTTCAGCATGAGTGGTACTGAGGGCAAAGAGATGGAGCAGCCCCAAGGGTTTGGGTTTTGGGGAACACACAATCACATGGAGGGAGAGGGAGGAGATATAAAGAGTATGAGTTTGGGGTCAGAACAAGGTCCCAGCAGGGGGCTGACCCATACCTAGAGAACAGGAGGTGAGGTTCATATTGGATGAAGGCTGAGGTCTGGATTGTGTTATCCTGAAGGGTCCCATTTCTCTCCAGACTATTGCTGTAGAGTCAGAGGCAGAGGCTCACATACCAGCTTCATCCCAGACACCCCTCTCTGGAGTAGAGGAGTCAGTGCTGTTTCCAATCTGGCCCGCCCCGCCCACCACCATGAAAACCAATAGGAAAGGGCTGGGAGGGGGCTCCCTTTGTTCTCACCTGGTGGCAGTCAGCCTGACAAGGACCTGGTTCAGGAGAGAGGAGCAGCTAAACTCAAACCCTAGGAGAAAGGTCACCTGGGAGCAGAGAACAAGGGGTCATGGTAGATTCCTGTTCATGGGGCAACTGCAAAGGAGCAGGAGCCCTTGTGTGCCTCCTTCCCTAAACTCCCAGACCCACAGATTCCAGCCCCTGCTCTCTCAGAGCCCCTTTCTCATGCTGGGCCCCAACTCACCTTGGCTCCAGTCTGAAAGACAGGGTGCCCCACACTGCAAAACCGGGCATGAGAGGAAGGGGCTGCACATTCCACCTTCACTGGACTGTCCCTCTGGGAGCAGAAGAATGGAGGTGGGCATCTGGGGCTGGGGCTGCACCTGCTCTCCTGCCCACAGCCTCTCATCACTGAGCCTTTCTCTAGAGCATCTTGCAGTCACGACCAATACCCCAGTCTTCTTCCTCCTTCCCCAGCTCCTCCTAAACTCTCTCCCCAAGGGCACCTGCGGAATGAAGCTGGCCAGGTGGAGGTTTCTGGAGAAGCTGAGGTGCAGGCTGGTGTTATAGGCATTTTCTTTCCTGTTCTCCAGAGTTGCTGACACCAGCACTTTGTGCCGACTGCCTCGAACCACGAACGGGTGCTTCCTAGGGGTGATGAGTAAGGAAGAGTCCGGGAGTTGAAGGGGTACAGAAAGCCTCAATTCCTTTTCCTGGGCAAGAAACAGCCCTCTGCTCCCTTCAAGTCCCTTCCAATCAGCCTCAGATCTCCCTACATTGGCCAGTTCGCGTCCATCCCACCTGGAGCCTCTGATGTTCATGTCAGCTTGAAGCACCAGGTCTGTGACACATTCATTGTCAGGGCCACAGTCTTTCGAGAAGGGGACCTAGAGAGGAGAGAAGCTGAGGGCTAAGAGGAAGGCAGTGGAAAGGAATGAAATTCAGGGGAAAATGGAAAGAGAAGAAAGGGGGCCCAGGTCAGATTTCACCAGAATCTCATGTCTCCTCCCTCCCCTTTCTCCAGAGTTCACTAGGAAGGGCAGGGTCAGGACCCAGGGGCAGGGCAGGGCGTGGTGCCGCTGACCAGCTTCCGTATGGAGGTGGATGAGCCCTCACTCAGCACAGGCCCTGGCTTTGTGGTGTCATCCAACGCAAAGGTCACAGTCAAGGACACTGGTCGGAGGTAATCTGACATATCCTGATGGAAACCAGAGTCAAGGATCATGAGGAGCCGGGGACAGGGGTACCACCCAGGCCTGCAGCAGAATGTGATACTTAATAGTGATCATTTACCAAGTACTTTCTGTGTGCTGGGCACTGTCCTAAGGTTTACCAATATCATTATATTTAATTCGACTACAACTCCTATCATGTAGTTTTGATTATTATCCCCCCTTTTCAGGCAAGGAAACTGAGGCTCACAAGTTATGTGACTTGCCAGAGTTCATCGGTGGTAAATGGCAGAGCTAGGATCCAAACCCAGATCAGCCTGACTCGAGTCCAAACTGTCTCACTTCCTGCCTTCCTCTTTCTTGCCCATCCAGTAGAAATTCCTCCTCTGCTCCAGCCTTCTCCTCACTCCCAGCCCTGATGCAAAGCAGTTCCTGTCCCCTCCTCACCAGCACATGGAAGTGCAGCTGCTTGCAAGTGACATTCCCCACACTAAGCTGGAGCCTCCAAAGGGATAGCCTCTGGCCAGAGCCATCAAATGCTGCACGTGCCCCAGCTGTCCACTCATCCAGTGATGCTGTGAACCGCATATCTGAATAGGGTGGAGAAGAGCAAGAGTGGAGAGGGGCCCAGAGACCAAGGGGTTGAGAGCTGCTGGGATGTATTCCAGTCACTCACAGAATCTGCGATCCCAGTGGCCAGGAGTGTGGGAGGTCACTTGGAAGCAAAGGGCTGCAGATAGGCAGGCTGCCTCCTGGCCTCGCCACCTGCAGTTGCTCTGAACCACACTGATGGCCGAAGGGGTCACATCCAGTGAAGGGGCCAGGTGGACAATGGGCCGGGAGCTGGGCACAGAATAGAGAAAAAATTCTAGCACTAGGAGCAAAGTGTTCTGTGAGCAAGGTAATCTCCAGGATTTGTCTCCCTGAGGTCACAGGGAAGAATGAGGGGTGACGTGCACATAAGTCACGCTCCCCTGAACCTCCTGACAGAAGTAAGATAATTGCTAACATTTAATAAGCACTTCCCATGTACTAGGCACTGTTAAGATCTTCACATGGATTATTACATCAATTCCTCACAACAAGCTTGTAAATTTGGTGCTGTTATTAATTATTCCCATTTTATAAACTAGGAAATGGAGGCACAGAATAAGTGGATCAAGAAATCCAAACCTTAGTCGGTGACTCCAAAGCCCTTGCTTGTAACAGCCATGCTCTCTGTCCACTGCTACCAGAGTTGTGACCACTCACCTGAGCAGGATGGCTGCTCCCTGGGCACCCACAGCCACATCCACCAGGTCATCTCCATCCAGATCGAGCCGGCCATCCACACTTCGGCCAAAGTAGCTGAGGGCCTGTGGCATGGAAACTGCAGCAATCCGCTGAAAGGGAGAAAGGGGAGATTGAGCAGGTACTCCTATACCTGATTTCCTGCTCTGCCCACCTGGGCCTTCCTAACTCTCCCATCAGGCATGGGAAGGAATAGGAGAAACTTGCCTGTGTTCAGGAGTCCCTTAGTGAAGCAATCCCTATACTACCCTACCACCTCACCTTTCTCACTGCTGATAAAAAAGCACTTATTCAATCTGGGTCTCAACCCAGAAGAGCACTGATAAGCAAAGAGCGCACCTCCCCTTTCCCTTCCGCCCACCATGCCCCTGCTTTATCTGCACACATCTGACCTGGGCAGGATGGGGCTTGACTCCACTCTGGGTCCCATGATACAGGTACAGTGCTCCACGGTGCACGTCCTCCAGGGGTGCCCCCACAGCCACATCAGCAAAACCGTCTTGGTTCAGATCAGGAAGGGCACCCATGGCAAAGCCAAACCGAGCATCCTGGGGAGGTTCTGGCTGAAGTGTTCCCTGGAGTGTCAGCAAGGACTGCTGGTGGAGGTGAGAAGATGGAAAGATGCTGAGTTGACAGTCCCAACCCTTCAGCCAGTCCTCAAATGCATGTGCCTTCCCTTCCTCCCTCCTTCCACCCCCCAACAAACAAGTTTTAAGGGATCCCAGCAAGTCTCACCTGGCTCACCAAATACACATAAACACGTCCTGTTTCCTTATTCTGGGGTCCCAGGAACATGGGGGCAGCCACAAGTAAGACATTGGTTGTTCCATCCCCATCCGTATCCAATGGGCAAAGTTCACTGCCAAAGTATGAGCCAATCTGGAGAGTGGTGGGTAGTTATAACCCCAGAGAAATGGGAAGGTGATTATGGACAAGTGGGAAGCACCCACTGGCCTGCCAATCTGGTCCTGACAGTTTTAACAGACTGTGCCAACCTGAATTCAGCACAGGCTTTTCAGGACTCTCTTGCCCCTTCACTCTTCCCCCAGCCTGGAGGTCCCTCAGGATCCAAGAGTCCCACCCTCACTTGGATGCCCTACCTGCTCCCCCTGGAGGCTCTGGGCGACCCTCACAGCTCCATCTTTCTTAAGCTGGAAGGCGATGACCTTTCCTCGATGTCTAAACCGAGGAGCCCCTGAGAGAAGGAGGCGGTGCCCACCCCGCAAAAGCATGGAGGAAACCGAGTAACCTAGAAGTGGACAAGGAATCAGGGATGAAAGGGAAAGAAGATGGGGTCAGAGTGGGATGGCTTCCTAAAGGCACAAGAAGAGGTCCCAAGGAAAGTAGCAGGAGATCAAGTGAGAAACTGCCTGAGTTAAGAGGGGGTACCTCCTAGTCCCCACTGAGGAAGCATTTCCTCCCCACCCCTAATCCTTTGCAACTTAATGCAACTCACCCAGGTAGGCTGCATGGTTCTGCAATTCAGTGGGGAATTCATCTTCCAGGGCCGTCCGTTGGGGGAAGAGGCGATGACCTTTTTCAAGCCATAACACTGAGCCACCCCAGTCATAGGCCCCCACCATCCCAAAGAGAATCCCATCCTGTAGAGTAGAAGCAGATGGGGTCACTGAAAAGACAGCAGGGAATAAGGAGAAAGTACTTTCCAGGTGTGAGAAGGTCACTAAGAGTATGCTGAGGTCAGCTGGAAAGGCATGAGAAGGTCAGAATGAACATTACTTAAAGGAGGAATCTAGAAGAGGCCAGGGATTGAAGGTGTCTGAGGCAGAGGTTGGAAAGAGTCAGCTGTTGAGAGGGCTCATGGAAGGGTCAGAGTCTGTCCAACCTTTAGTCGATGTGTAGAAAAACCAATCTGAGACATTTCCAGTCCAAAGGAGCTCTCATTTTCTCCATGGGATCCTTGAGCATGAGAAAATATCAAGGCAATATCAGGAAAGACAGCTCCCTCTTTGACCTACTGAACTCATTCCAGAACCTCACCTACACTCCAGAATAGCCCCTACCCTGTCCTCCATTTCTCCAAAGTAATCATTACCCTCGAGGCCAAAAATCCTGTCTCCTAGTGCATCCACAATATCAGTCAATGCAGCTTCATCTGTGACATTGAAGAAGAATCTCTCATCTGGATCACTAGCAATAGCTCTGATTTCCTGCAGGAAAGAGCTAGGATCTCGCTGCCGCCGGAGATAGTGACCAAGGACCTGAGGTCAGGAAATCAAAGTGGGGTCTGTTAGCTGTGTGGCATGAGATGTTACAGCTGGCACAGTAGGGGATATGGTTGACGTTTGGGAAGTGGTTAATGCCCATTTTCCCAAGTTCCCAGTCCTCAGTGTCACTGTCCCCACCCCTCCTCAATCCTTCCGGATCCAGAGTAGATTCTCACTGCAATCCCATAGCGTGTCACTCTTCCAGCTTCACAGGCCTTTAGTGCTGTGGGAAGCTCCTCTCCATCATGTGATTCTCCATCAGTGACAACCACCAGTAATCTGGCAGCCTCTGGTCGGCCTCCATGGGATTGACTAAATCCTTCTGTGCTGAGGAGAGAAACAAGTGAAGTGTGATCAGATGCACACACACACACACACACACACACACACACACACACACACACACACAACTTGACATTTTCAGCAGTTCACCAAGGTCAGACATCTTGCTTTTAGTCCATTTCCCTGACAGTGTGTCACATGGAGACAAGCACACAATACGAACACAAATGTTTGAGTGCCACAGAACAGACAGAGCAGCAAATTATCAATACAAATGAGTATAAGATCCATTCATTCATAAATTCATTCAGGCAATATTGCATTTGGGGGGACAAATACTGAGGGAATGTATAATAAAGGAGAATGGTCAGATCAGGGAGTCTTCCCAGAGATGAGTTTTGAATTATCACTCATGAGTGGTGGAGAACCTGAGGGCCAAGAAAAAAGGGGGAGAGGAGGGTAGAATAAAGAGTTCTGTTTGCAGAGATAAAGCAGAAACATGGAGAGACACAGACATAGACACTGTGGAAATGCAATGAGAGGGAGTGTGATGACAGCCACTTAGCCTCCCCCAACCCACCAGTAGTGTGCACACAAAGATAAACATGCAAGACATCTTGGAATGTACACACCACACTGCAAACCCTCTCCTGACCCTTCTAGGCCCTCCTCACTCTGGCATCCCACATTTGTCTCCCCAGTGCCTCACCAGGCCACCTTGATTGCTTGGGCAGTCCTTGTTTCTCGTCCCTCCCGCCGACTCAGGTTCCTTGCTGCCCTCATCACTTCTTCCCTGGTTCGGAAATCTCCCAGGGACCACTCATATACAGGGCTCTCCCCATACTGTACCAGTCCCACCTGAGAATAAAGAGTGCACTCAAATGGAGTGTGTGTATGGGGTGAGGAGAGAGAAGAAAAGTATGTGAGGGAGGGTTGCTGAGTACTTGGGTACTACTGAAGGCACTCCCAACATCTCCCTGTCTCTCCCACTCCAAGCCCACCCATATTCCCTTCTTTTACCTGTATCTGCTCTGGGTCAATAAACAGCCTTCCTACTAGTCTTCGTAGGAAAGTCTGAACTTCAGACCAGGGGTAGATGCTGTTGGAGCCATCCAAGACAATGACAACATCCATGTATGTGGGGCAGCCTAGGAGGAGTGGAATGGTGATGGGGAACAGAGGGGTAGAAGGATATTGGGCATGGGGCAACAATGGAAGAGGTCACAGGAGGAACATTTATTAGGTACTCTGACATGCAAGGAAAGTAGTGTGCCCTCTACCCTGGGTAAATATAGAAATGAGAAAAAGAGGAAATGGACATCCATGTAATTTACTAAAAAATGAAACAATGAAGAAATTAAGTGCTAGGTAGACACACAATACTGCTCTATGCTGTGGGAGAACAGAAGAGGGTCAGTTCTGATAATGGGAAATCAAAGTGTAAGGAAAGGTATTTGTATGGAGAACATTTCAGACCAAAGAAGATGGAGGTATAAAATAGATGACACAGTGAAGGGTGAGGTACATGCTATGGCCAAGTGTGTGGAGGGAGTTTTTGAAATTGGTTAGATCAGTTCATAAAGTTTTGATGCCCTGGCAAAGAATGTGAATTCTAACCTGCTAGGAAACATGGGGCTTTTGTAAGATAGCAGTGAGGATAGCCATGCAGGCCTCCTGTTAAGCATCACACCCTGTTGCACCATCTTTTGCCCACCCTGCACCCCATTCTGGAGACCGAGTCATCAGGCCCTGCTTCTGGCTCACGTTGTGTGGTGGGTGCCAGACTTCCTTGAGGCTGGAATGAAGCACCTACATGGGTACATATCCCAGAACTGAAGACAGAGGAGCCACAAGCACGAGACCAGAGAGGGGCACAAGCCTGGGGATGAGGAGGGGGAAAAGTTACTTCCCAGACTTGACAGGACACCCTCAGAACACGCTCCTAGTTGAAGGAGGCATTGAGACCACTCCCCAAAATTCCCTTCCTTGCTTTCTAAGGTTTTAAACTCCTTGATCCCTCCACATAGACCTGTTTCCCTTACCATACTGCTTTCTTTCCACCATGGACCTTCAGAGACCCTCCCACCACCCTTTCCTTAACTCACCATGAATCCCCCGTCACCATCTGTCTCTAGTAGAGACATCCCCAGGTGCATATTCACAGCAGGGTGAGATGAATTTCCCAGTGGATAGTCACCTGGTTGGAGAGGGTTAGAAGAGAATGAGATCCTGGAGTCATGGATAGGTTGCTTAAGTTAAGGGTGCTTTTGGAAAAGGATGAGAACAGATCAGAATCAAGTTAGGGACGGGTAGGATACAGGATATGCAGGTGAAGAAGGTAAGGTATAAGGAGTCAAAGCTACTAGCATTGCAAGGTTAGCAAGGGATTAGGAGTGGAAGAATGAGGTATCTTCTTACCCAAGTGGCCCTTGATGCATGGGGCATTGTGGGGTCCCCCTACAGGACAGCGATAAACATCCCCCCTTCGGTCACCTGAAGGCCCATCCCAGGGGGCGCCCACCAGCATCCTGGGAGGAGGACATTAATATAAGCATAGTGTGAACAAGACCCTTGAGGTAGGCCAGAGGAAAAGTACATGGGGGTGGTAGGTCTAGAGCCCCAGCCACTTCCAAAAGATCAGATTAATTTAAATTCCCACCCACTGTGCCTCTCCTTTAACAGTTGGATTACAGCCCCAATCCATGGCCCTCTAGCTTCCTCCTCACCATCGTTGTCCACTCCCAATATATTGTAAGACGCTGTATCCAAATTCAGCCTCCCGTGGCCCTGGGAATAGTCGTGGGCGATGCACATCCAGGTTAAAGGGGGAGCAGAGACCTGGGGGGCCAGGGTCATAAGGTTAGCAGGAAGCAGCCAGAGAGGCTAATGGACACACAGACAGGCACAACCAGAGAGAAACTAGGAAGGGAATGTTTTGAACTCAGTCTATACTCTTGTTTCTTACTCATAGCTGTCCTGGCCTCTGTTGATGACAGGTACACAGACCTCCAAGCAAGGATGATCTCCTTCCTGTGTCGGAATGCAGCTGTCTGACTTGTGGCCCTCTGCCATGCTGGTGCACAGCTGTATTTCCATTCCTACACCTGAAATCTCATTTACAGACATGTGTGGAAGGGGCAAGTTCCTCTTTTTTATGGCATTACTACTCCTACACATTGTCCTCCCCAAACTGTGAGGGTCAAAAGAGGGAGCGGGCCTTTCTGCAGGCCCAGAACTACTATTCCTTCCAAATTCTCCCCGAATCCAGGACATAGGGAGAACAAGAGGAGGCTAGGGAGCACTGCATGCCTGGGTCTCTTGTCTCTCTTTTGGACTTCCAATGTCATTGTTACACTTACCCTCTTTCTCCAGTGTCTACGTCTCTGCTTGATTCCAGCCCTGAAAACCTCAGTGGGTAATTAACTGGGTGGGGTCACTCGCCTGCCCACACAAATGGTTTGCTATCCATTCTTACCAAGGGTCCCAGCACCCCAAAGTTCCCCACAACCTGCTTGCTCTCTAACTCATCCACTCTCCGCCTACCTGCATTTCTTCCTTAACTCTTGACTCACTTAAATAACTCCCTAATCATATCCTGGCTGATTCTTCCCTCCCAACACCAATCCCTTTAAAATCAGAACTGGTATTTTGGGAAGCAAAGATTACAGGGCACTGGTGAGGAAAAATTCCAGAGCTCTTGTCCCTCCCATGGTTCTTTCCCTCTGTCTTGCTTCTTCCTTTAAAGCAATCCCCTCTCAGGCTACCCCACCACCACTACCATCAAGGCTCTGTCCCAAACCATGCTCGTTTTCAGAAAGGTGTTTTGTACGTGAGCCTTTTTGCATCCAGGAAACTGACAGGATTCTGTGACCAGAAACTGTAGCACATTGGTTAGATAAACCCAGAGTTCTGACCACACAGTCACTTATGCCTCAGGTCTCAGAGACCACCAGAGTAGGAAGAAGTAGGAAAGGGGATCATAGGAATCAGACTAGCCACGTGGCAGGTCACATCATGTTTCTTTTTGATCCACTCATTCCTCTAGGGCTTAGAACTAATGTTTTAGGTAACTGGACACAAATCTGACACCGGGTGCAAGGCCTTGCCAGCCTCAATAATGAAGCTGTCATATGTGTGGGAATAAAAATGGAAGCATGCAAAGACACACACACACACACGTTTAACCTTTCACCGTAACTCCGAGAGAATTTTAACCCTAAAGGTCCCAATGCCAAACAAGCCGTACATCTCCCATTCTCACTAGAAACTAAGAAGTTTACCTCCCTCACCTGTCAGGAACATCAGGGGTAAGAACAGGTGAGGGGTGAGGAACTCCATGCCTGGTTGTTCTCTGTCTGGGTGAGAAGTCCTCTGTGCTTGTGTCCCTCTCCTCTTCTGTTTTCTTTACTCTCCCTCTCATCCTGCCCCCTCCCACTGGTAGCTAAAAATAAAGTTGGAAGGAATGGGAGGAGGGATGGTGGGGAACTCTGGGGAGTCCCAGACCAAGGAAAGGACTAGGCATCTTAAGTCTATTTCTCTGCCTTCGTGCTGCCCCCTGGAGGCGTCATCTCAACATCCAATGGCAAGCACAATTCTTGATTATTTTTTGCCTTTTTTTTTCTTTTTCTCTCCTTAGTTGTTGCTGGACAATAATGCTTTCATCAGGTTTGGAATAGAAAGTAGGAGTAGGATATAAATGCTTTTCACTTCCTACTCTTATTTATCTCAACCTGGGATATGGAAAATGAACGAGGTAATAACAGTGTTATCATTTCCCCATCCACCCAGAGGAGTCACAGCATGTGAGGACAGAGCCAGTCCATAAACCAAGCCTTATCAGCCCCACCCCACTTAGTTGTTTGTGACTCAGGTTCTGCTGCCTTGTGACATTATGGTTTTTGGAGGGACTAAAAACTATAAACTGGTGTGGGGTGTGCTTTGTGGAACGAGAATAAATACTTTATCATTAGACCCCCATCTTCTCAATCTGAAGTTGGGACCATGGAATTTCTTAGTTTTTTGTCATCTCTGCCATCTAGTGTTATGCCCTGTATAGTGTAGGTGCTTAATATAAATCTGTGGGTGATAATACCAGTGGCTAATCCCATGTGAAACCCAAACCATAGTGACAGGAATAGGGGCCTCAGATGACCAGAACAAACAGCACCAGGCCAAACATTAATGAGCAAACTGATCTTTAATCTGCTGACCTGGAAAGCTTGCTCCCCATTATGGGCACGGACCACAGCTATTTACACAGAATCATTGTATAATATTTACAACAAGATGCTAGACACAGCATCCTTCTGGATAGGCAAAGAAAGGGTAAGAACAGACTAGGGAACAGAGCTCTGAAATCAAGGTGTAAGCAGAAATCTGCAGGTATGAGTAGAGGGAAGGATAAGGGCCATGTCATGAGGGAGGCTGGTGAGGTAGCCATGAGGGAGGAAGAGAAGCATTAAAATACTTCTGGGGTGTGAAGAGTACCCTGGGACATAATGTCTTTAAAATTATGATTTTGAGTTTGAAGGAGGTAAAATCTGCCATAAGCCACCTTTGGGAGGAAAAAGAAGGCAAATTTTACAGACCTCACTTTTTTTACCTCCCCTACCCAAAACTAACTCTGCTACTGATTAAATTCCTAGGACAGGAGGACTAAGAAGGTAAAAAAAAGAGATGAAGAGACAAAATGTTAAATAGACTTAAGAGAAACAAAGTAAAAAGAGTCAAGAGACTCAGACAATGCAGTGAAAGAAAAGACAAAAGCTCAGCATATCTGAACATTAGAATCATCCTTGACTTCACAAGTTACCTTTCTTCACCTCATTTTCCCCAAAGCTCCTCTCTCTGCTCCTAAATCTCTGAATTGTAAGTTTAGCCAAGGAGTACAGTTAGAATAAGGGTGGTATCTTAGGGACAATCTAAGATTCCATCTTACCAATTCAAGTCCCCTCTTATTCTGTACCACAGTATCAGGGCTTGAGTCGTAGCCAAGGGCAGATTAGAGTGAGAATAGACAGGATGGAGGACACAAGGCCACAAAGCCCCACAATTCCAGGGCCACAGCGCCAGAGACCTAGTTTGTCCAGTGGAATGAAAAGATCACAGGCATTTCTGACCACATCCAGTAGAAGGGGGGGGTGACTTCGAAGTACCCGAGCCAGGAGCAGGACTCGGAGCTGAAGTTTTAGAGCCAATTCGGGAAGGCCTCCTCCTGGAGTCCCTGGACCCCCAGGTCCCCCAGTTTCAATTTCTCCTGGGACTCCACCTCCAGAACCTTTCAGTCGCCGGCTACAAGCTAAAGATTCTTGTTCCATCAGTAGGCGAATCTCATAGGCATCACGGCTCAAATTCATGATGAGGGAAAACAGATAGTACCTAGGATAGGGTACAGGACAAAAAAGTCAGTAAAGGCATGTGTACCCAACCTAGCTGCTATTAGAAATGTCCTCCCACCTTTCTGTAACTAATACGTGTTTATGTGTACCTTAAGATCATTAGCATCATCAATCTTCCAAGATCAACCTCAAATTTCACTTTTCCATTTAGCAACCCATTAGCACAATCAATTTAAACTATAATAATACACATTTGTTTTGAAAGAACAAGCTTCAGTTGTTTTTCAGACTCAGATACATTATAGATAATTTACATCCCTATCCTTTAGTTAAAAAAAAAAGCCCAGATGTGTTAAGCAGCTTGCCAAATGTATTAGATCATAAATTCCTTAAGAATAGTCCATGTTTTATTTTTATTCCACTCTGACAACAGTGGCATGTACCCCATATTAATTGTCCTACCTCTAAACACATCTTGAATCCAACTACAATCTATTACATTCTGCCACCAGTCTAAGCCACCATCATCTCTTGCTTGAACTACTACTTTAGTCTTTTACATGGTCTCTCCATGGCCACTCTTGTACCCCAACCCCAACAATCTAACTTCATGTAGTAGCTAGCATAAACATAAGTCACATCATTACTCTCCTTCTTAAAACACTCCACAGTTTCCTTCCTATCACAGTTAGAATAAAATCTGGATAATTTATAAAGGCCATATATGATAAACCCACAGCTAACATCATACTGAACAGCAAGAGGTTGAAAGCTTTTCCTCTGAGATTGGGAACAAGACAGGGATGCCCACTCTCTCCACTGTTATTCAACATAGTACTGGAGGTCCTAGCCACGGCAATTAGACAAAACAAAGAAATACAAGGAATCTAGATTGGTAAAGAAGAAGTCAAAATGTCACTATTTGCAGATGACATGATATTGTACATAAAAAACCCTAAAGACTCCACTCCAAAACTACTAGAACTAATATCAGAATTCAGCAAAGTTGTAGGATACAAAATTAACACACAGAAATCTGTGGCTTTCCTATACACCAACAATGAACTAATAGAAAGAGAAATCAGGAAAACAATTCCATTCACAATAGCATCAAAAAGAATAAAATACCTAGGAATAAACCTAACCAAGGAAGTGAAACACCTATACCCTGAAAACTATAAGACACTCTTAAGAGAAATTAACAAATGGAAACTCATCCCACGCTCCTGGCTAGGAAGAATTAATATCATCAAAATGGCCAACCTGCCCAAAGCAATATACATATTAGATACAATCCCTATCAAATTACCAACAGCATTCTTCAATGAACTGGAACAAATAGTTCAAAAATTCATATGGAACCACCAAAGACCCTGAATAGCCAAAGCAATCCTGAGAAGGAAGAATAAAGTGGGGGGGATCTCGCTCCCCAA